GTAAACCTGTTTCTGGTTATAAAATTAAGCAGACCAAAATAAATTGGAGACATTATTACGGATGCTGCTTTAAATATACGTCCTATTTACGGAAGTGAATCCACCTTAAATACCCTACCGTTCCATGGCATTACCAAAACCAAAGCCCCGTCTTACGTGGAAGACCCCTTGCTACTCGACGCGCTCCGGTAATTGCCGACATAAGTATAGCTTTACACGCACTTGGCCTAACTGGCTCTAAAACAGGAATAACAACAGTGGCAGGGCGTTAAAACTCATAACTTATGAAACTCATTTTATTTCTGCAAATAGGCTTTTAAAAAGCACTTTTACACGTCCCAGTATTAACCCTACCGCTGCTTTAAAGCAATGAATGGGCCAGTGTTAAAAAGAAGCAGCGCGCGCAAGAAACTCAGTCACTATTGTCAGTCTCTCTTTCAAGGGTTTACAGTCTTTAAAATACATATAGTTATAGTTATAGATATTGATGCGCGCTAGGCAGTTAAATATTCCAAACACATGGTCCTATAGGGTTCGACCCTATTCGACATTAATCGATGCTCTCGTGTCAGTCACTCAGTCTGCGAGTGACAGAGTCAACAAATCTCGATCATTTTGCAGAGTACCCTTTGAATGAATGAAAGGTTCGTATTTTCGTTATATGACATTAAACGCTTTACAGCCTATAACTGAAAATTGGGACGAGTTTACCGTCCAGGAACGACAGCCGTAAAGTATCAGAATTAATTTAAAAAATGTATTCTGCGCCATGGAAACCTAATTTGCTAAATTTTTATGCTTCTAAATCTGTAATAAAATGTTATTGTGTTTACGAGTATATCTGCAAGCTTTTATTTATTAATAAAAATATAACGAATACCAAATAAAAATGTTTATATTCTTCCATGGTACAAACGTTTATTTAGAACAGAAACAAGTTAGGATGGCTATACACAAGATAAATGATTTTAGCTGTGTTTAGTGAAATGCTAAATGTAATTCAATGAAACGGTTTTGGCAGAATTTATTTTTAGCAAATTGCTTCATGCAAATAACATCAATAGGCTTTATTTGGTTAACAGTAAAAGCTTATTTCGGTCGATTCAAAGCTAAAGTAATTTTAGTACGAGAGCGGCTATATTTAAAAGTGTTTTTATTAATTAGGTAGGTACTATTTTACCACTGAAATGTCTAAGATTACCTTCTTGATTCTAACATCTATTCAGTTTAAGTATTTACGTGCAATTTTTTTTTGTAAAAGCTATGAAAATAACGAGAATTTTAAATGAAAGCACAAAATTCGTTTGTTTTACTTAACAGAAAAAGAAAACTGTCTGAGTAATATTCTTTTGAAGAATTACATTTTATAACTGGTTAAAATATTTTTACACCAGAAAAATTCTTCTGGCGGGTATTATAATTAATTTTTATTCTACCTACGTATCTCTTTCTCTATTAAGTAATAACATTTTGTATACTTTGTAATGAAAAGTAGATAATCAGTAATTCTATATTTTTAACAATCTGGATCAATCAAGCCATGACTCCGTGCTCATTAAACTAACAAGCACAGGCTATTAAATTACCTTTTAATCTGTTTATTTTATTTTATTTGTTTTATTTTATTAGGAAAACCAACAGCAAGCAATACAAATAATGAAACTTAAGTTATGTATGATAAATTTTTATTTCAAGGAATATCACCATAAGGCTCGGTTTCTACCAAGATAGAGCATAGCGGAGCGGAGAAGTGTTTTGAATAACCAATCAGATTTAATTATTTTCACTTTTCGGCTGTCAAATTCTATAGAAAAATTTGACGACCCATCACATAATCTCCGCTCTGCTCCGTTGCGTTCCGCCTTGGTGGAAACAGGGCCTAAGCGCGAGAGAAAATAGCGAAATCAAATGGATAAACTTTTAACTATCACACAAGACAATTCAAATCAAGGGCTGAAAATAACACAAAAACGAATGCGAGGGTACCGATTACGAGACCATTCAATCACATTATTACTAGCTCGAGTAGTCCGCGGCCGCACGCGACTGCTGCTGGAGATAAAATTCAAAACTAACTGGTCAATCAAATGTATAAACTTTTAACTAACACACAAGACAGTTCAAATCAAGGGCTGAAAATGACACAAAAACGAATGCGAGTACTGATAACGAGTTCATTACAATCGCATTATTACCAGCTCGTTCTTAGTTCCCATTGTAGCATCCCATCCGAAGTTATGATTAACTCGCGAAGTAGTCCGCGGCCGCACACGACGGCCGCTCCGGGGAGTTCAGAAGCAAGGTCAATCAAATGGGTAAACTAACACACAAACTGTTCAAATCAAGGGCTGAAAATGACACAAAAACTAATGGGAGAGTACCGATTACGAGTTCATTTAAAATCGCATTACTATATCAGCTAGATCTTAGTTCGATTGTAGCATCCCATCCAAAGTTATGATTAACTCGCGAAGTAGTCCGCGGCCGCACGCGACGGCCGCTGCGATCGAGTTCAGAAGTAATGTCAATCAAATGGATAAACTAACACACAAACTGTTCAAATCAAGGGCTAAAAATGACACAAAAACGAATGCGAGAGGACCGATCACAAGTTCATTAAAAATCGCATTACTTTATCAGCTAGATCTTAGTTCCCATTGTAGCATCCCATCCGAAGTTATGATTAACTCGCGGACTGTTGACCGGGGAAATCGAGTTTAGAAGTAAAGTCAATCAAATGGATAAACCAACACAAGGATGTTCCAATAAGAGTCTGAAGAAAACAAAAGCGAACGCGAGAGTAGGTATCGATAAGGAATTTAGGAGTTCATTACCGCTAGCACGATCTTAGTTCCCATTGTAGCATAGCATCCCACCCGAAGCTATGATTAACTCACGAAGTATGGAAGACAGCGCATTTAAACATAGTGGGGTCTTATCTGGTTATAATACAGGCTATTTTGCAACAAAAATGTATTCTTAGTCTGATGCACTGTCGTCTGTACCTAGTCAATGGATAAACCAACACAGTACAGAAGGCTTTTCTAATCAAGGGCTATGTGAACGCATTCGGATAAGTATCTACATTCGAAGTCAAAATTCAATAATTCAGTAAAATGCCTACTGACTGACTGACTTAATCTTTATGACCAAATTAACCGAAAAAATATGGCGACGAACCAACGCGCGTAACTAACTACTGTCTGCCGCTAAATACTTAAGTATGCCTGTAGTTCTAAATTATTTATTCAGTAGAAGTTCTCTTCAAAATCAAAAATACATGTCTGTTGTACTATAATAGTAGGTATCCATTAGGAATGTCATTTAGTATGTTTAACAAAAGCTATTGTTATATTTTAAACCCGCAAAACTGGATACTGTTAACCTCAGTGGCGCTGTAAATCTAGTTTGTAAAATGGAAAATGTATTTTAAAATTAGCAGAACAACGAAATAATAAAATTTTATATTTGTGGACTCCAGAGGGCGCTAGGATTTTAATTAAAATATTTCTATGAATCTCGCATGCAATTGGGAAAATGAATTCAAAATAAATGTACTCGTACCTATACGAGTGTACGTTCGTTCGTTTCTGCCAAAAGACGTCCACTGCTGGACAAAGGCCCTCAATCGAAAGAGTTCTTAGTCTTAGGTTTAAGTTAAGTGCTGAAAAGAAGTCAAGCTTTCCTACGGACTTTCAAAAGCACCATTTCAAGTAAATAGCCGCTGCGTGGCATTTCGCGCGTGTGCGCAGAGCCGTTGGCTCAAAGATATTATTATGGGCGCAATGCAAACATCCCCGTGATGGTGCAGTTGGAATCATGGTTACTGCCGGCTGGGCAGACATAGTTAGGGATGCCAACGGCAAAATAATTACTTATGTAAAACTTTAAAGCATAAAACACAGAGTACAAAGTCAAACTTAAATGATGTGACGTCTGACATTAGACGTAGACAGTAGAACATACATATTGTATACAAGTTTTAGCAGAATACCAAATTCGTCTCAATCGTAATGGAATCGTAATGGAATCGTAATTGAATATAAATTGAATAACAATAGCATGTCATTTAATTAATAAATAGCAGACTTGGGGCCCTGATGCTCTACATCTGGGCTTCGGCTTGACACTACTTTTTGGGACATCCTGTATTTAAGGCGCGAGTAATCTTCAAAATATTGAAATTAGATAAATCCTAGAACCGACTGGCAGCCCTACCCGGTGCATTACTGGCACTGGCCGCAGCTGTGAACACAGCTGTTAATATTAACTGGCCGCAGACGCCCGCTTGCCCTCAACGTTAGTTCTGCGGTCCCCTGCCTACTACCGTGAACGATCATCCAGCATCCTGGGCCGCAAATGCACTAATTATGAACCTGGCACTGCCTGATCTTATGAGTTATCGTATTGCATCCTCGCCACAAATGCACTAAATATGAACCTAGGACACTGTTGATACTACTTATGATATCGTTAGTATTGTAGAAGGGTTACTAGCAATTTGACGTAAACAAAACAAAAAAAAAACTTTTAATAAACCCTAGAAGTAATCTAAATAGATAGGTTGATATAGGAGTTGGTTCATCACAATAGTGCAGCCAAGCTGACGACGGAAATCGAAATAGCGTTCTTCGGGTCTCGAATAGGCTAGTGTTACACCATTGGCTATACATTATAAGACTACACTACATTGGCTATACATTATTAGCCCCTAATATGCGTGCCTAACAGAGTCCATAACACTGGTCTCATTTACGTAACATCCACACGTAAAGTGGCGCGTAACTATAGGGCAAAATGCTTTAATACTATTACCCTAATCGCACCTCCCTCCCCTCGCTATTTTCCCGGGACCCCCCTGAAAAAGAACACCAAGGACCCCATGCACTGAATTTGCCACGGGCCTCGGATGGTATAATTCTGCACTGCACACACACGTAATTACGGTTTTGCAATATAATATTCAGTAGGTATTAACTATAAATAGGTACTTACATTGCAGCTGGACGGCATGACGTCAGTTGGCGCTGGTCGCGGCAGCTTCGAGGCTCAGACGTGACGTCGACACGCAGCCAAATCCTGGTAAGAAAATCTGATTGTAATACTTATTGTTTGCTCAACTCAAGCTTGTTTTTATTTTATTTTTACGTCAAGGCAGTTTCCCAGCAGCAAATGCATGACCATTTGCTCTTGTTGAAGTCCTAAATGAGGCATAAGATTTTTGTCAATACATTTTGTATCTAAATGATGTAAAGGAAGAGATAAGTGGTACAGATGGAATACAACCCGTATATTTAACGAATCACGTCTTTTATCCCGCAACAATCTCCATAATTACTTTATTTAATTTTACAGTCCATACACACGACGACATTTTCGTTTGATGAATTACTCGTAATCCTGTTAGCAATCAAAGGATAGGACAAACCCGGGACAATTGTTTAGTTACGAGTACGATCCGATCCGATTTCCCTTTATTTGGGTACGTACCGGTTAAGAGTAAGGTTAGCATCATCAGAATGTGACAAGCCTACCTACTTCATTAAATAAACACTGGTTTAATAGATTTAACTAAAATACAGCCGAAAGACGTTCACTGCTGGACAAATCCTCCCCCATGGATTTTCACGAAGACCGATCCTGCGCCGAAAGGAACGAACGAACGAACTAAAATACAACATTTTTAACATAAGTACCTAATATACAGGTGAGCAGTTTATCAGGTCACATCATGAAGAATCCTATGGGAGCATGCACCAAAAATACAAAAAGTTGTTTGCATCTAGCTAGGTACTCGTAGTTTGCGAAAACTGAGTGGAAATGGACGTTTGATGCCTAACCTAAACAGGCAGTTCGTACCTGGTAATGCCAGTTTTAATTAAAATTAGCGACCAAGCTCGCCTAGCTAGAAATAAAATAACCTAGCCACTGATAAAGCTAATATCGCGGTAAAACATAAGTAAATATAAAGGCCCAGAACAGACGGTGAAACGCAACTGCACCTGCTAGTTACTTTTGAGTTGCATCTAAGTTTCTGCCATAGCGTCCGTTGAGAGACCACACATGACGCGTCCAGTTTGATACTTTCAGTTTCAGTTTCATTCATCAGAATCATCACAAAGTTGTAGTTTCGTTGCAGTGGCGTTTCACCGTCTGTTCTGGGCCTAACTGCGTAATAAGATAAGCCGATTTTAGTTAAATCACTCAATTTTATAAAGCCCTGAAATTCGCATAATAACACCAGGCATTTTAATTAACCCTTAAAACGTAAGCTCCTTTCAGAGGCAACTGACCGCACTTAGCCATCGACGCGGCTGATTTTAATGGGCTCGTTCCAAAGCCTATCAAACCGCCATAATTCTACCTATATTTCCCTTCCCACTGCTCACTTTTTCTAAAAATTGAATAAGTTTGTGGTAAAATGACACTCAGTAGTCACCTAACCCATGAAATGAAAAGCCTCCCCATCCCCATGTCACACCGAAGGAAATCCTTAATCCTTTGTTTACTTCTAGTTTAATGGAATTATGACCTAGGACACAGAATAAGTAATAGTACCATGTCTAGGAAGAGGTTAAAAAGGAATTTGAAATATATGATTGAATATTGTTTGAAATGGCGTTAGCATGAAAACGAAACAACATAAATTCAATTTTATACTTTTTTTTAAAATGGTATAGTTTCTATACTCTACGGATTTCAGGGTTGTTCCTTTGTTACCTTTAAATGTCTATTCTAATCTACCCGCTGGTAAAAATGTCATTGCTGTCGAATCTGGGTTTTTAGTGTATGGATTTTGGCCCACTGCCTTTCCAGAGTGGATGCTGCAAAATTATTTTTTCTGATCAAAAAAGTTGCAAATTATTCACTGTCTTTTTCAAAATATAACTTACTTCATAATGAGCCTACTGGAACTACCTCTATTTACTAATTACAAGCGTTAGTGTCGCGGTTGAAAGTCAACTTAATCCCTTCGGCATAAAGTCCACAAAAGTCCCCACACCGCAACGTGTGAAAGAGGCTTAGAACTAATTAATGCCCTGCTTTGCATGGCCCTACTCCAAACAATAGGCCTGCAGGGCTACTCCGAAATACTGTTTACGTAGTGTCGGATATATCTGTCACCGTCACTCATGGTGGCATCTCGCTTAGCGTGAGAAGGATGGCAACATTCGAAACTTCGAATAACGTCCTTCGGAGTAGACCCCCTGTACCTCTAGTAGGAAAAACTTTCGAGTTCGTTTCGTTGCGTATTCAAAGTGTCATCGAAAAATTTTGTATGAAAAATTAAACAGCGCCCCCTATATTATAGCCGCCCTAGGGGGCGCTGTTTAATTCAAAGTGTCATCGAAAAATTTTGTATGAAAAATTAAACAGCGCCCCCTATATTATAGCCGCCCTAGGGGGCGCTGTTTAATTTTTCATACAAAATTTTTCGATGACACTTTGAATACGCAACGAAACGAACTCGAAAGTTTTTCCTACTAGAGGTACTGATTCTTCCAGCGTCACCCTGCCTTTGTTTGTTTTAGTTCGCAAGTAACGCTACAATTTGGTTAGGGGTGGAAAAAAAATATCAAAGATTTTTTATAATTTGCAGAGGTTTGAAGCTGGGCGAGAAACTTTGATGCCGAAAAAAAAACATAAATCCTCTCAATAGCTAACTTCGAAGTACATAGCATTCTTTCTGATGACATTGCACATTTTATTTAACTATCGACAACTCTGATAAAAGGAATTTTATTTTTCACCAGGTCTAAAGTCTAGACTGAATTAAACTTACTAACATGAAATAGAACAAATCAAATCAAAAAGAACCTCTGCATTTTAGTGGATCATGTGAAGATTTTACTTTTTCATTTACAATAGAGGAAAAGTTTGGAAAATTCCGTGAGCATTTGAGAACGCAAATAGGTAACTAAGTTATATTTATTATAACTTCATGTTATTTATTGGTAAATTAATATCATAACGTTTTCAACTAGCACTAAGTAAGTAGATAAGTTTCAATTACAACAACTTATTAACTTATTGCATTAATCCTAATGTATTGTTTTACAAGTGTTTCTCAGAAGCCCGGCAGTTTCTTTTGTGCCTTTGTTGCGGTTGCGGGCTTGATGCGGGTCACAGAAACAAAGACGATTTAATTACAAGTCCGGCACATTCGCTACGTGTGGACGAGCCTTAGGGACAATGTTCTGGGAAATTTTGTCAACAGTTTTAAAAAATAACGCAAAAGATAATAATTATTTTCGTATCATACGAATTTAGAGGCATTACAGAAGTCAAAATGCAAATGGAAGTAGAATTTTGCCCTAAATTAGGAACTATTGTTAGAAGTGGTCCTCCGCAAATCATCTTGCTTGACTACAGAAAGACAAAAGCGCCAAAATGTTATGATGGATCAAATAGAAAATAAGAACACCTTAGGATACCTACACACTTAATCGAGTAAGTACCTATGTAGGTAAATGAATGGTCAGGTATGAGGTTAACCACAGAATAAAAATGTTCTACTTACTTACTTATTGTGATGGCTCAGCTCAATCCAAAGATTGTCTTGTTCTCGATAAGGGATGACGGCATTTGCCTCGGTCTTGTGCGGTTTCAAGGCAGTCGCCTGCCTACTTCAAGCTCGCGATGTCTTGGCCTCCCTCCGATATGAGATGACGGCATTTGCCTCGATCTTGTGCGGTTTCAAGCCAGTCGCCTGCCTGCTTCAAGCTCGCGATATCTTGGCGTCCCTCCGATATGAGATGACGGCATTTGCCTCGATCTTGTGCGGTTTCAAGCCAGTCGCCTGCCTGCTTCAAGCTCGCGATGTCTTGGCCTCCCTCCGATATGAGATGACGGCATTTGCCTCGGTTTTGTGCGATTTCAAGGTAGTCGCCTGTCTGCTTCAAATTGGCGAAGATCCGAGTTCAACCAGTCCGAGTGCTTTGCTGTTCAACAAATAAGTAAATTTCAACGATCATACGTCATGAAGTAAAACATTTTGGTAACACCTTTGGGATAACTAGTTAAATATCTAGAGAGAGAATATTAGGGGCGCCGCGAGCGCGACACACAAACGAGTCGGCAATAAATATCGTTGCAGACGGCTGGCTGCTGTAAACGAATTGTATGTCCTACGTGCCTACATTTTTTTACAAATTATCAGGGTAAATGCCAGTACTACTTACTTACTCCGATGGCTCAGCGACCCACAGCGTGATGACGGCACTTGGCTCGGTCTTTTGCGGTTTCGCCAGACGCCGGATTCAAGTTCGCGAAGATCCGCGCCATGTTTTGCTGTTCAACAAATAAGTATGTATAAGCAGGTATTTTGGTACGAACACAGGTACGAATTATGACGAAACTAAAACAAACAGATATAAAAACATATCGTATAACAAATTCGTGATTAAATCATAGGTAGTTGGATCTTACGGATCGTAACAAGCATTTGGCGATTGCCGCAAAAAATACATGGTCATAGAATAAGAGGTATTTTTCTATCTCAGTGCCTGCAGAGGATCCATACATTGTTTACTTTATTTTTATCCAATGTTGTTTCAGGTCTACCCTAAACATTACCCTATCGTTTCTCTCTGTTGTCTTGACACCCCATGCTCGCCCCATAAAAATAATCTTGTCTCGCCATAAAAAATCTCGGGTTAAAACATTATTGTTTAAAAAGCGACGAACTCTTGATTGTTCGTGATCCATTAAATTGCGAGGCTCCTTTAACATCGCAGCTTTTACTTTTATTTCGTAATTAAACGAAAGGAGTGGAAATTGGCGCGTTTGCATTGGATCAGGATAACAATAACAAAGTAGGTAGGTACCTACTTACTTGAGCTAACAAAGTAGAAGTAGAAGCAAAGAAACTTAAAATCATCTGTGAAGCACTAAATCTAGACTGTCTTGAAGTTATTGAATGCATTTTGTTTGTAGATGGACAAAGGACATTTAGGTCACAGAAATGTTATGTTGCATATTGCAACATTTTGCCGCAAGAAAACCTGAAGAAGCAAAATGGGAATGTAAGGAACGAAATTTAGTTATTTATGAAAAGCAAGAAATTCATTAAAATTTTATTATTGTTAGTTACATACCTACCTACTTTGAAATCCACAAGGGCGACGTCCAAGGCAGTATCCGCGGGAGAAAATAACAAGCGATCCTATTTCGATGCTATATGTGCAAAATTGAGGGTAGGTAAGTCAGGTACTGGGCGCGTCGTTCGTTACCTACCTTACCCGAAAAAATGTAAAACTTACTAAATAAATTGAGGAATACATCTTTCCTAAAAGCTAATAATCGACGTGCTATCACACTAAGTATAGGGTNTATACCTACTTCGACAACCTACAACGATTTGTGTGGATTCAACAGAGTTTACATGGAAAATATTTGTCAAAAATATCATATTTTTAGCGACACAGCAGGAAAAAATGTAACAAATTATAAAATACGGTGAACTTTGATCACTTACCTTCACAACGAGCTGCTGCAGTTGGATAGTTCATCAGCAAGCGCAGGAGTCAGGCGGCAGGTAGCCTAGGTAGGAAGCAGAAGGTAAGTAATCATGATCATGATTGGACCTTGAATTTCTCCTATCAATAGGTTTTTTCTTTCTACTGCACTTGCACTTCTGTTCTTTGCAAATAAATGCAGTGGACATCTTTCTTTCACAAGATCAAAAGACGCCGACAAAGATGCCGACCCAACTTTTTTTTTACCACAGACAAAAAAAATGTTGCACGTTCGATCTGGGAATTGGAAATAAAAAACAAAAAATCATTTGCTTCGCTAGGTGGCGCTGGCATACTTTCGTCGAACACAAACCCATGAAAGCGCAAGAAGATTATTTATTTATTACATTAGTGATTTCATTATTTATTAAATTAAATTCAAATCTATACAATAAAATTTATAACTTAAAGAGGACGCTAGCTAGCTATGATATTAAGTTATTAGTTCCGATTTTTGCCACATTGGACCACACTGAAGAGTCTCATATAAGTTATGACATTTACAGGAGGGCGCTACTATCAATACCACAGAATCAATACTGGCTAATTCCAATTTTTGTAAAAGGATTATAATAATTTACAGAATTTGTAGGCAAATAGCGCCACCTAATAAGGTGAAGTGAACTATTCTCACAGAACAAGCTTACTAATTCAGCCAACCACTAGATGGCCTTGCTGTTTTCACTCTCAATGTAACAGATTTGTGATAGATGGCAGTGCGGTCGTTTCAATTTGTTTTATAATAGGTAGCAATAAATGCAATACAATTTAAACTAAAATGCAACTTTTAGGCCAAAAATATTCGAAAACTTTCAAAGAAAACAATAAACCTCATTTAAAAAAAAACACAGACCACACAGTCTTTATTGTCTATGGAAATTATTGAGGAAAAAAGTGACGTTTGAGTCTATGGTTCTATATTTGTGTCGAACAGAAATACGTCGAGAGCTGCGCCGGTGAACAATTTATTTCAATTATAATGAGTAAGCTCGTTGCAGAGGCTGTGCGTTCTCACTTATTGTAGAGTGAATCTCAAACATTGTTGTTCAACCAGTAGTGGTTTTCTAACGAGTGGCGTGTTCCGAATAATGGTTTGGGATGAAACCTTAGTGACGTCTCGCGTTACAAGTATTACAACCTTGGGTATTATGGTTACGAGAAAAAGTGTATTTTGAAAATATATCCAGTGTTTTCTGCTTGAAAACGTCTGTGAGATATTAGTTGACTGTGTGGTGGCATTGTTCCTCGTAGTGGTGTTGTTAGATCAGTGTTATGTCTGGTGGACGCAGCATCGACAAGGAGCGCAAATCTCCTAGGGAAAGCGGCGAAGATTCTGAAGATGAGAGTGAAATTTTTGGAGGAGAGTCCCTGCGGCCGCTGGCTCAAGCGACGGGAAGAGGTAAGTCGACTTGCTTCTTTGTTTTCGCACACGTTTGAACACTTGTTATGTTTTTAACAGTCAGGTGTTTCTGGACAAAGATTGTCAGCTGATCTACAAGGTTAGACTGATCAAAAATTATTAAAACGCTCCCCATAGTAGTGCTCGATTGATTTTATTGTTTGGAATTTGTCAATACATGCAGTACTAACATCATTTGACACCTACTTTGCAGAATATAAGTATGGTTTACTGTTATTGGTTTAGATTATAGTCTAGAACATACCTAAATCTTTCAAAATTTTATTTTATTAGTTGGTAAAATATTCAATCACTGAACCATAAAAACAAGACATTTACTTATTACTTCTCTAAATTTAAAAGGATTTTTTAGCATAAAAACCCTAAAATAAAACTATCGTCCTGTCTAAATTAAATAGTGTTATCGAATCAGTGTTATATTTCCCCAGGTGTTAAATAATGTTCATCACACAACATTAGCGCTAAAGGGGCCTGCAATGAAATCTAAATTCTTAGAAAACATATGGTATTTTTAATTTTTTAATTATAATCTATCTCTAGCTAGAATACCTACTATGATACTATCTGCTCCGTGAGCATCAGTGAAAGTGTTACTGAGTCATGACATTGTCAGCGAGCATACTATGAAAGAGACAGAGTAGTAATTTCATTTAAAGCTTGTGATATTGTATCGCTTTGGTAGTTTTTCTAGCTACATCTTATTTCTCAATATGCTGTAACAATAACTCTAGATTCCCTAAAATGTTATCTTTCACTATTCCCCGAACATGACAAGACAAATTCATCTTTGAGCTAAGCACTTCGCAAGCCCACTGTTCATTAATTCCAGTGGGCCAGTGTATCTTTTTTATTTAAATAGTGACCTGCCCGGCTTTGCTCAGTTCCAATGTAATACCTAGAAACCTTCTTTTACTCAACAGAGTAGTTCAAAAGATCTGAGCGAACAGACAACAGAATAGACTTTATCTTAAACTATGTAAGATTTTAATGTGAGAACCTTGTTTCAATTAAATTCTGGCAACATAATGCATAAAATTAACATCAATTATTATTTATTAAATTAGCTAAATTAGTTGGTGATGTAATAGACAGGTAATTAGTTTTTTTAATAGTTGGTTAATTTGAATCAGGAAAATTGATTTGTGCTTACAACGATTTTAAAAACATGATAACTTTTATGAAATTTTTAAATTTGTCTAATAACTAGACAGTAAAATTTCATTTATTGCCAAAGGAAGGTTCACAGACAGTTGTCCGTTCTAGCGGCCACTGCATTAAAATGTTGTTGAAAGTATTACCTAATTCATTAATGTAACAAAAGATTAATGTTTTTTTGATTTATATTTAAAATTCAAATCTCAGAATTTCCTGTTTTCATGGTTTTCAATGTTAAATAAAAATCTTTAAGTTTTTTTTAGTTCTAAAACTTTGAAGTGTGAATTACTGTATAATTGCAATGTGTCCCACTTGATATTGGTTGATGATTATCTTTATGCAGGCATAACCTATGTTTGTACGTCATCATTTATGCAGCGCTAGATAATATTTTATGTAATAATTGCGATGGCATTTAGGTGATGGATTGGATCATTCAGATATAAATCTTATGTTCTTGAAGATACTGTTCATCATTAATGCTATCTGGTTATCCAAGTTGAATTATATGATGCATTAGAGCATGTACGTAAGGATGAACACATGCTTGGAGAAGGATTATTCATTCGAATTTGACAGACTTTCCACTGTCCAGAAATAAATTCCAGGTGTTTATTTTCAATACGATCATGAAATCTAATTATTAAACTTACATTGCACATCGATTAATTTCCATTCCGTGACTAAAATTACCTGTTTTTTTTTACTTCCGGGTACTTTTCAGCACTCAAAATGTTCAGATGGTAACCCTACACGGGAGGTAATTGCGCGCAAGTGTGTTACATGCTAAGTACACACTTTCCCCGCGTCGCGCCGGTCAACGACCGCCTGAGATTCGACTCTTGCGCAACCAAATCACTATCGCTTTCTAGGCCTTTTTTTTTACCCAGGAAAATGGCCTATCCATACCTACCGCCGGGGGACGGTAGGTTATGTGGGACTCGAACCCACTAAAAACCTGGGGTGTTCCCTCTGCCGCATAGTGGTCGACGCCTTGGGTACTAAAAACGACCAAGGCGCCTTCCGCGGACGTCCCGCCCTACACGGCGGGACTCAACACGCCCCCACTTAATGGTGGGCCGACAGGATTAGCCGGGACCACGAGGCCAATCCCGTCCGACGGCGGTGGTAGCCTGTGCAGTGCAGGAGGAGGCGCCCCCGCGCCTTCAACCTGCTGGCCACCACCAAGGGGAGGAAGAAGCGAACGGTCGTATAACCGCCTTCTAACTCCCCTTCTCCGTCTGCGAAGCGGGGGTGCGGAGGGGTCGTCCTCTCGCTCCCGCTCCACATCGCTTTCTAGGCCTAAACTCATTGATGACAACCCATGCGGAAGCGGCCCAAGAGGTTTCAGGTTGAGGATGACTAGAAACCATCGGCTGAGCTAAGATGCGCACCGTGATATTATACTTTGTCGACGTCAAAATGTATGTGCAAAATCGATAAAATGGCGTGATAAGCGCTTATCGCAGCGCGCTTCCTAGGCCTACTGGAGCCTGAGATTTCTTAACAGACGTGCTCACTGCGCAGTCTTCTGACAAGCTCAATCTTTTACCATCCAAATCGCTGAATGCCATAAAAAGTAAATGACGTTTTGTAATTGGATTTAAAAAGAAAAGTGACAAAAACGTTGTGAAACAATGGGATGTCTTGTCCTGCCGTCTGCGCGCAGGCCTCGCATAATGAGTGGTTCAAGGCAGTCTGAATGCCAGACCTTAATTCAATCAATTGGTCACATCATCAACCACTTTGGGATTAATAAGGCGTCTCCAGGCTGCTAACAAGATAGGTACTTACTGTAATATAGCCACTGAAAATGGGAGTCATCATCATCAGTTAATGTCCTGAGTCCAAAGCCGAAGATTTCTCCAATCTTTTTCAAACGCCTCTAGATTTGTATATCCCATCAAAGTTAATAATAATTATGGCCAAGGCCCACGCTGTAGATAAGCTCCTTATTACGTACAAAGAACTATTTACCTACCTTATCATATATCATGTCTATCTGAGATATTATCAAATAAAGAAAGTCTGAATGAATTACATTTCCAGCCTGCGGTATTGGCGGCCATCGAGGCGTCCGCGCCGGTCCTGGCATTCGATTCGCAAATAACGCCTTTATATCCAGAAATATGGAATGGAAACCTATTCCATTCCATATTTCTGGATATTAACTTTCCTCGGCACAATGGACAAGCAAGGACATATTGTTATCTACCTACTAAGTATATAAGCCCGTCTGGAAATCAGTTTGTTAATACGTTATCGTGATATCTGAATTAATCTGCTTTTCGTTCGATTGTAAGCTTTATTTAAGATCATCATGCTGAGAAAGATAAGATCAGATTTCTCGGTTCCATAAGCATATTTAAATGACTCGACATACGAGTACCTATGTTGATGGTCGAGCTGATATACTGCGTGTAACAAAGATTGCTTAAATCACACTCATTAATATAGTTCAAGTTATAGTATGTGAAATTTCCAGTTTGTGTCAAAACTCAAATGTATGTTTAGTTTAGAATTTTTAACCCACGTTATCTGCTTCAAGGTCCAAGGGCATGAGGTGGGCTTAATTAGGCAAGCAGACAACGTGTCCTTAATTTGTTTTCGTTTAACAACTAAATGGAACAAATGACTGACCAGTTGAGATTACACACACAGTTGATAACTGCGCACTTCGCGCCGCCACAGTAAAAGTGAACGCAGTATGTACATTAGAGTAATCGACCGCCCATGCTCTGAAAATATACACAAAGTATTTAAATAGGCAAGGAATTGTGTTGTAGCGTTTATTTATAAAATAACATTCAGTTTCGTATGCTTCTTTTAAAATAATAGTGATGTGACCAGTTTACGAACTCTCATTTTGGAATTCTGTCAAACTGTTTTCCAATCTTCGGACTAAATTCTTACTCGACAAAGTTCAGTAAATAAGGCTGGGTTGCGCCATCTCACTCTAAATATAATAAACGTCAAAAATGTCAAACTCCATACAAAAAGCACCGGTTATCGTTATAGTTACGTTTGAAGTTAGGTGGTGGTGCAACTCAGCTTAAGTGCTTGTGGCCTGATTCGGTTTAATTGTTAGCGCGAGGAAACTCTGCTGTTCACACTTACACTGTGGCGCAACTTTGTTGTCGTAAGTCGCCTTCCCGTCAGCGGTAGGACATTAACTGATGTATTTGTAGTCTCTATTTCTGAGCGACCTCGTCTCCTCTAAGGTCGGCCGCAGCTTTCGTCGACTATTGTCTAATTTCCGACCTAGACGTGTTTAAATGTCTGATCAGTGCAACATTTGAAAATTGCTAATTTCAGGGCCATACTTTCTTCTAGATCGTTTTATGCTAGATGTAGTCAGCAAGCAAAATATTGACTCATATTCAGATATATGAATGAATATGTGTCAATATTTTCCGCAAGAAAAAAATATCAAAGTCGCTAATGAAGAAAGCAAACAACTTTTAATAAAGGATTCTTCGAACCCCTTTCTAAATAATCGTGCTCTCATCGTCTATGAGGCCACTCATTGAGTCATTCATCATCATAATATCTTCTTATCTGTCTCTATTTTTTACTATCTATAATTTTTTATCACTAATACCAAATGTAACTTCACTCCAACTCTCCTTATCGCCATCGTCATAGAGTCCACTATTTCACATTTGGAATTCAATATGTTTGTTTCTGGTAGCACACTTTCATCGGAAGGTCAATGGCACAGTTTCGAAGCTCTATGGGACTTTTTCTATTGAGTTTTTTGTACGAAAGTGAAAACCACTCCACATATATCTGATGACTGATGCGGTGTCACTGGATGAAAGTTG